GCAGCAGTGCTACCCACTGTGCACTGAACTGCCCATGCATTATATGTAATTAAGTTATTTTAAGAGTAAATAAACTCATTCCATTGGCAAATCCTCTTATTACCTGAGCAACTTAAGGGTAAATACACTTGATTTAAGACATTTGTACTTATTTCTAAGTGTACCAATTCACACAGCAAAAACAATCTAGAAATAAGTAAAACATTTTTAAATCAAGTGTATTTACTCTTAAGTTACGCAGGTAATGAGAGGATTTGCCAATGGAATGAGTTTATTTACTCTTAAAATAACTTAATTACATATAATGCATGGGCAGTTCAGTGCACAGTGGGTAGCACTGCTGCCTTGCAGTCAGAAGGTTGCGGGTTCGATTCCCGGGGTCTTTCTGCATGGAGTTTGCATGTTCTTCCTGAGCATGGGCGTGGGTGTTCTCTGGGTAATCTAGACAGCAACCCTCGCAACCCCGCTTGGAATAAAGCGTGCTAGAAAATGGATGGCATATTATGCACTTGAAATTATACAATCTTATTCTAAATGTAAATCGTCTTGTTTCATTGGAAAAGTGTCTCACTTACCTCCGCAATTCAAGAAAAAATTCACTTATTTTAAGAAAAATCGATTTATTTAGATTTCAATTTTTTGCACTGAGCTGATCACTTCCAACCTTAATTGTTTCTGAGGTCTTTGAAGGAGGCGGCCTACATGGCAGGGTTATCACTAAGATGTTTTTATCAAGCATGTTTTTAAAAATATTTTATAAAAAATATAAATGTTATAAAACATTTTCTAGTATTCCAGAAGGATATTGAAACTACAACTACAACTTTATGTTATCAAATTCATCTTAAAAGCAGTTAACAGAGACACAGGTTGTGTATGATTTAAATGCAGGGAGGATCCATTTTACAGTAAAATATTATATTTATATCCAACTGGTTGATTCAGGAGGATCAGTGGAATCTTTATACATGTGTGGCTCATGCTGAATGGGAAAACAGAGGAGAGTCTCTTCTCTCTCTGACTGCAAAAACTGGCTACAGCTGCTGTGTTTTCGAGGAGGGAGGGTCTCGCTCACTCACTGCTGTTTAAGGACCCTAAACTAAGAGCTAAGGGTGAATGTGATGTCACCAGCAGTTCCCTCATATTTATGTTTAGGTAAAGGTTTATAAAAATACCATTTACACTGCCATAATGCTCATTAAAAGTAGTTGCATTGTGCTTTTATAAGTTTTAATGTAGCCATTAAAAGGAGGGAGCCTTTTTCTAAAATCAGCGCCTCGGTTTTAAAATTAAGAACAACCCTCAGCATCCTCTTCATCAGAGTGTCTTCAGCACTGAATGATGGCTTTATTCAAAGAGCAAGTTAAAAATCGGATCAGTTTATCTATAAAACGTCAACCCACAACGTGTCAGTTCAATTAAATCATCCAGACTGATTGGTTAAAAGCTTTTCATCTCAGGAAACCTAGCAGATTGCAGTTGAGTTGTTAACTGGCAGCATTCACTCCTCATGGATGAGCATGTGGTGACAGTGGAGAGAAAAAACTCCCTTTTAACAGGAAGAAAGCTCCAGCAGATCCAGGCTCAGAGTGAGCGGCCATCTGCTGAGGCCGACTGAAGTTTGATCATATGGAAGCAGACGCACAAAAAACACAGAAACAAAGTTGCATCTGAATGAATCACAGAGCTTCAGAGGCCAAACATAACTGTTAAAAATAGCAAAGGAAGGGTGGCTGAAAACTGGGTCATCAACAGGATTACAAATCCTAAAACAGAAGAGCTGAAAAAGAAACTAGCTGTAACATCGGCCTAAACAAAGAAATATTAGGGGAACTAAATGAACTGAACCTGTGACCTAAAGAGGGATCTAAATTTATCTGAAATGAAGCGACGCATCAAAAAGCAAAAAAGTTATTTCCTATGAAAATAGCCAGATCCTGAGTCACAAGCTGCTCTCCTTACACAGTTTTTAGTCACTCTTTGTCCTTGTTAGACAACAAATAATAATGTTAGATGTTAATAACATTAAAAGATATCCTGAGGTTTTCGCCTTACTTAGACGGGTGCAGTTGTGTGCTCTGGCGTCCCCCACGAACCCGGGGGCGCACTCCTGGCACCGCGACCCAGAGGTGTTGTTTATGCAGCTGAGGCAGGTGCCACTTTTAGGGTCACAGAGCTGGGGGGGCCCCTGAGGGTCTGCGTTGCCGCTGCAGTCGCATGGCACACAGGTCCCTGAGGCGTTGTAGAAACCAGGGCTGCACTGGTCACAGTGTGGGCCGCTGTAGTGGGGAAGGCACTGGTCACACACTGGAGAGCCACTGGCATCTGAAGGAGAAGAGAGAATACCACGTCAGCTCAAGGTAAACAGAGAGGCTGGAAGACACTTTAATGAACAATAAGTCAACGATCCTCTAAAAAACTGATTCAGGGTAAAAAAACCTCTCAAAGAAATACTTTACAAATGAGCAGATTTACATGGATTCTTTCATATGAAATACATGTATAAAAACTCAACACGTTGCTTTTGCCACTAGGGGGAGTAAGAGGACAAGCTGTAAATGTGGGAGCCATGTTGTGGTTTATTATCCTTCCACAGCCTGCTTTCCCTCAGATGCTTCATGAAAACATGGACTGCTGTGTCTCCTGAGCCCAGGTCACACCCAGGCACCTTCTGTCCTATACCCTGTGGAGAGCAGGGAGCCTGGCATGGAGGGCAAGTGGAACATTCAATACATGTATAGAGAATTCACGAAAAGAAGAAATCTGAGGAATGCATAAAATAAATGCAATCTTAGACTGAAATGTGCTTTAAATGAGCAGATTAAAACATAAATGCATCTGTAAAGGAGAGATAGGGATGAATCCTCCCTCATTATCATATAGACATAAACACAACACATGTGGGAAGATGTTTTGGAAGCAAACTTTACACCCCACACACACACACACCCACACCCATAGGAAATATAAAATAGATTCAAGGCTTTATGTGTGTTTCTCATTGGACTGTTTGGTCCTTTATTCTGAAAATTCCAGAAACAAAGCACATTTTATAGATTCGATGTAGATTCTGATTTCATTCCCACCACTGGTGGTTAGAACAGGTACACTCTGCTACCAGGAGTCAGCTTTCCTTCATGGTAATATGACACTGAAACACCTTCTGCCATGGAGGTAAGGAGATGCAGTATTAAAGGGCAGCACCATCACTGCTCCGTGCCCCAGAAGACAAAGCTTTTCCCCAAACATCGTCTTATTGACAATCAACAAGTTCCTGACACGTCTGCTTGGGCCTCTGTAGGGGTTCCTATGGAGCGAAGGGAACAAGCAGCAGGGGAAAATAAATCCTTCACTCTGAAAGTCAAAGGTGGGATCTAAGCACACTGCAAAAATTATCTAGAAATAAGTACAAATGTCCTAAATTAAGTGTATTCACCCTTAATTTTAGTATAATTGCTGTTATTTATTCTTAAAATAAGATAATTAGATAATATGCACTTGTAATAAGACAATGCAATTGCTTGTTCTTAATTTAAATGTAAATAGTCTTGTTCCAATGGCAAAGTGTCTCACTTACCTCCTCAATTCAAGACAAAATGCACTTATTTAAAAAAAAAAAAAATAGCTTATTTAGATTTCAATTTTTGCAGTGCAACAGTTGGAATCAAAACTTAACGCTCACATATCAGTAATGACTGTGGAACAATACGATTTCTACATATATGAATCAGCATTAAGTCTGGTGGGGGAAAAAAAAGTGGATTTAAATTGTTCTTTTATTTGCGGTGGGGTTAAAAAGTTTGACCAAATCTGACCCACAGGTGGTCAGAGTGAAACATACAAGCTCAAACATGAACTTGGAAGCTCAGTGGGTTTGTTTTAGTGGGACTGCCTGGTAGATAAAGGCAGGCCTTCTGATTAGCCTGCAGCTTTGAATGCTTCCCCAGGCTTGATGGGATTTGGATGTCCTCCAGCTTGTTTATGCAAGAGTCCCACTAGGCAACAATGCACCTTTTTCCCCCCTGTAATAACAAACAAGCACATGTTCCATTTGAAACTTGGGTTTTTTAGCCTAAAAATAAGCAGAGCCGGTTGGTTTGCAGCAGCGAGGGTTTTCAGTAACTCTCTACCTGTTGTTTCTACCATCCTCTGGTTACAGACTACCTACAGGAGACTTGAAGGTTACCTTCTGCTCTTTCTCACTTGATGGTTCCAGTTCAGCCCTGCATGTCTTCACATAGAGCCTGATGGCTGCAGGTATGGTTTGTTGCTCCACCTGCACCACCATGGACTGTTACATGAGCTCTGTTATGGTGGATGTCAGTGTTTCTGGTAGAAATGTTTTCACGTCTGAACAGCTAATTTTGTGTGTGATCAGCTGGTTCTAGTTGTTATTAAATGCGTTGTGTCTTTAAATGCAATCTTGCAAAATAAAATAAAAATTCAGGGTCGACCACAACTCTCACTCAGACCCAATGTCCTTTTTTTGATCATTAATCTAATACATTTTTTTTCTTTGTTTTGGTAAAGTGGTTATCTGGCCAAACTCCTTTATTTCTCCCCATCAAGCTGAAATAGGCTCCAATCTACGACTAAAACGATTAATTGCGATTAATCATTTATGTAAATATGTTAACTTGAGGATAGCATCGAAAACATTTTAGCCCGTAACTTCAATACTACAATATTAAATAACATGTAGTTATTTCATGCTATATTCATTGATATAGATAGAAATTCAGGTTTTCCTGGTGGGGCTGGTGTCTATGTCTGTCTGTCTGTAAGTGAAAGGCAGAGACACCATGGACAGGTCACCCGTCTATTGCAGCTAAAATAATTCATTTCTAAATAAACTACATTTAATTCATTATTTTAAAAATAATATTAATTATTAAATGGGTCTTTAGTAATAATTTATTGTGCATGAAATGATTGAATTAGATTTTTAAAAAATTGAGTAAAAGTTACATCTAATTATTTAATTATGTATTGCGGCCCTTCATATTACCGGAAGGCCGGTATTTTTGGCTGATATTAGAAGTTTTCATTATTTCAGTATCAGCTGGTACCTGAATCTGGCACATTCACTAGTTCATCTAGCAGGTAAACCTTGGGATCATGTGAAGCACATATATGCTGCTCTCTTCATTTTCTATCCATTGTTGTTTGATTTGTTAGCTTTTTTAGGGGTTTAAACCGAGACTTGTGTAACATGGGATATTTTTATGATGAAGAGAGGAAGAAAAAACATGAACAAGAAAAAAACTTGACAAATAAATTTAAAAAATTAACATGAGATGTCTGTTTTTTTTTCCACTTAAGATTCAATTTTTCCTTTATAATATAAATGTATACATGTAATTCCTTATTTTCCTTCCTGTTAAAAAGGAGGTTTTCCTCTCCACTGTCGCTACAGGCATGCTTAGTGTGAGGGATTGTATTTGAGTCGATGAGTTGATGCTATCAACTGGTTTTCCTTAGATAGAAAACTTTGAATCAATTTGACTGGATGATCTGTGCTATATAAATAAACTATATTGAAATTTAATTGAAATTATACGTATGTGCATTTTCCATTTTGTAATTTCCTTGGTGGGTAGCACTGCTGCCTTGCAGCAAGAAGGTTCTGGGTTCGATTCCCAGTCTTTCTGCATGGAGTTTTCATGTTCTCCCTGAGCATGCATGGGTTCTCTCCGGGTACTCTGGCTTCCTCCTACAGTCCAAAAACATTACTGTTAGGTTAATTGGCTTCTCTAGAAAATTCTCCTTAGGTGTGAGTGTGTACGTGAGTGGTTGTTTGTCTCTGTGTTGCCCTGCGATGGACTGGCGACCTGTCCAGGGTGGACCCCGCCTCTTGCCCATTGACAACTGGAGTAAGGTACCAGCACCCCTCGTGACCCCACTTGGGATTAAGCATGTTTGAAAATGGATGGGTGTTACTTTACCGAAAGTATGTTTTTCAGTTAATTGAAAAAAAGAATTGATAAATTTATGGATTTCTAAAATAATAAATTGGTGCGGCCCTACTTCGATCGCAGAGTGGACTTTGCAGGGTCTTAATGAAAAAGGTCAAATGACACTAAAGCAAGAAATAAAGTAGCTGAGAAAAACTCTAAACATCAGAGAACTGTGGACCACTGGATCCACATTGGAACCAGTCAGTTGTGTACCTGATCCGTATCTGCGTGGTTCTGGCCTAGTTTGCAGTCTCTAGTGTCGTCATGTGACTGTTCTCCAGCAGGGAGCAGGCTGCTCCTCATGATAAGCTTGATTTAACCTCTGCTGGGGGTTCAAAGGCATCAGCCTGCTGAGTTAGGTTATATAACCCTGAGAAAGGAGCTGCTCTGCACAGCGCTGCGTGTGGCCCATCGGCCTGAACCGCTTCTTCCTCCATCGTATGACGTTTGAGGGCGCACACACACGCGTGCACGCAAAGGTCCGGTAACGGAGGTCTTTTGAAGCTCTGTTTGTCTTAGAGTAAAAGGAGGAGACATGTTTGGGAAAAAGGAAGGGACCGAGATGATCTGCTGATCCTCAGGAGGAGCAGACAGAAGCAAACCAAACTCCACCACTGAGTACAGACACAATCACACATGGATGATTTAGTATGTGTGACCCACATTCTGTACTGGTGCATTTCTCTGAGAGTCTACAGGGAGTTATTTTCATCAACTACATCAGCCACATCACCACATCTATGATCAGCCATGTTTTCCTGCATTTGTGCAAATATCTGTTGCTGATGAAGGAACCACCAGCTGCGTTGTGAGCCATATTTCCAGCAGACGAAGGAAAGGTCCAGAAAGGACATTTTGATCATCCATCTCTCACACAGCCTCTCCTGCAGTGATGCTGTCTAAACACAGAGTGATGCTTCCCTCCCCCCCAGTCTGTTCCTTCCAGTCTCTGAAATGGCCCAGCTGTGCGAAGCCTGGTTCATGTCCCTTCCACTCCCCTCCCATATTTTGCATCCTCTGCCGTGGCCCTGGGCAGAGGCAAACTAAAGCTGACAGCCTGAGTTCACCAGAACGAGGCCGTTTCTACGCAGGGACCCACTGACGGCGGGTGGCAGAGCTGCCAATGATTGGGCCAGGAACGGCGAAGTGATGCAGAGCTAAAGGAAAGCCCACTGAGCCATTAGCAGACAAGGTTCACACAGAGCGGCATGGAGATGGGCTGCGATCTAAATCAGAGAGTTGTTGTGATGTTTGAACCTGATGAGGTGAACCCATAAAAGGAAACCAGCAACACTAAGCACAAACCACACTGTAATATTTAGCCTTTATTTACTTTCTTACATCATCTGAAACTACTGAAAGACATAAAATACATAAAACCATAACATAATCTTCATATAATCATGGTTTTAGGGGAACCTTATAAAGTCCCATTTTCTGTGCTTCACAAAGACACAAATTAAGGCTCAAAGTCTGGTAGAGCACCAAATAATGATTACAATTGAATGTTATTGATCTCACAATGGAGAAATTCACTTCTGCATTTAACCCATCCCCTTGGGGAGCAGTGGGCTGCCATTGTGCGGCGCTTTGGGTGCAGTGCAGGGTAAATGGTCTTCTTCGGGAACCCAGAGTGCAGGCTGGGGGGAACATACAGGGTACTTGCAACCTTCTTTGAGCACAAGCACACTGCTCTAACCACTAGGCCAACACTCCCCCACGGTAGATTTGATTTTGAGTGGAGTTAAACATACTGATAAAATCCATCACCAGTCTGGTTGAGGTCTCAGAATCTGAACCTGCTCATGTCCCTCGTACTTATCACAGGACCAGGGGAGATCTCTCCTTTCAGGCGGTCGCACCGGCGCTCTGGAACGATCTTCCGCTTTCCGTGAACTTACTTACTTTTTAAGAGCGGACTAAAAACTTGTTTAGGAAAGAATTTAATCATAGTAGATTAAGGGAGGTTTTATGACCATGTCTTTTGAGACTGTAAATGTATTTTCATTTGTATTTTAATTTTATAAAGCACTTTGTGACCTCTATGTCTGTGAAAGGTGCTATATAAACAAGCATTACTTATTTTCTTATTGGATCTCTTTCTTTGCATTAGCTCTTTAACCTAACTCCGCCAGATGGATTTGCTCCGCATATCCATCTGGAAACCTTCCGTTTAAGTAATTTTGGGAAGGGGCGAAAATACTGGTTAGCTGATTGGCCTATGTTGGTGATAGACGCGCCAAATAAACCAATCAGATCAACGAAGCATATG